GGAAAAGAAAATAAAAAGAGGTAGACTGTCTCCATAATCTTCAATCCATATACTTGCTTGACATCATTTATTACCCTCTTAGGCCCCTCGTCCCTGCAAACATTTAAAGTCATTTTGGTTTTGATCACTCTGTAGATTTATGAACATAGTATGACCATGCTTAAGGCAGAGGCATTGTGTGTGTTGGTGGCCACCTCTGTTAGCCCAACACAGCTAGAATATTGGAACTGTACATTATCCTCTAATAATGGTGATGTAATTTGGGCTTTGATGATTTTTATGATACTACTTTGTTTTTACCTGCATGTGTACATACAGATATTCCTGCATGGTAATAACCTCAACAGCCTGCATCAGCTAATACACCCTGAGATCCTGCCGTCAGAGTTTGGAGGAATGCTGCCCCCCTACGACATGGGGACGTGGGCACGAACACTGCTTGACCACGAATATGATGATGACAGTGAATGCAATGCAGATTCTTACAACACTCCTGCCAAGGATATAGAAAAGGACCTCTCTCCCAAATCCATGAAAAGGTGGGTTAAAGGTACTGTGGTCTTAGTATTGACATAAGGTTAATATTTGCCTTCCTCCTCTTTTATGAAGCTGGGTAGTTCCCTCCGTTTATTATATATGAGGGCCAATTCTTTTCCTTTGTTAAGATCACTGTTGATTATAGACCTTAGTGCTGAGTATTACCCATGTGAGTTGTGAGCTCAGTACAGGTAATTATTTTCATGGTGCCATATAGGTATTGTATACAGTACTGTGTTTGGAATAAGCTGATATCCCACCCCAGTCTACAGTAAGTATTAGAGAGACAGTGCTAGCTGGAGTGAGCCTCGGTGCAGAGGATAAATTGAGGCCAATTATCCAGCTGGGTGGTGATGGTAACTTTTCCCTTCCTCCATCCTATAGCCCAGTGCCTGGTAGCCACCAGCCTGTAGGCTCCAGGACATTTACAGCAGCTGAACTGTCAGTCACAGTGACTGCACAGAACGTGAGAAAAAGTAATGAGGAGAACCAGGACAAAAATCAGTGCCAGTTGTTATGCTCGGGTCTGCTAACCATCCTGGCATTCTGATATTCCTGTCTTTGAGAAGATACAGTATAATTGCTTGCTGCATTGTACCATTCAAAATAACTGTAGGGAGAGGTTAGTTAGCTTTCCAGTAACTATGGAAGCAGTGAGGTGATTCACTTGGGAGGGGTAAACCTGGTCCAACCTTGCCAGGGGAGTAGAAGAGAAAGGAGAAAGATTACAGCAGGGTGATAGAAAAGGTTAAGCAGGGCAGCAAAAGTCAGAGTACAGCTCCAAAAGGGTAGGCCTAGAAATGAATCAGAAGAGAATGAACAGGGCAGAAAACAATATGTAATATATTATTAAAATTAAGTCAGAATATGCTCAGCTGAGAATTCAGTTTGAGGAGATGGTGTTTGATGCAAAAGGAAGAGAGACTCTGGAAGGAGACCAAACAGGATTAAATATTTTCAGACTCCTCATCCAGGAAGGTGATTTTGTCTGGAAAATGTTGTATAGACTGGGGAGAACAGTGTGGTTTGAATGGGAGATATATTTTGGGAAATAGAGGAGACAAGAGGAGATTACCATAGGAATAAAAAAGGAAAAAAAGCCCTGAAGTTTAAGGATTTTGTGCTGGGAAAAAACCCTACCCTATTGTCGTGGTTAGACCAGCACAACTGTTGAAAGTGGGAAACAGCAAGAGACTGGATGGGAATAAACTAGGATAAGGACAGGTTAAAAACGGTCCTTGAAGCCATGCGACAAAGATTCAATTAACACAAGTAATGGAGAAAATGGGACAGCAAAGAGCCAGGGGAAAGGGAAGAGTGAGCAATAAATTTATATGATTTGCATGTACTACAAGAATTATGAGATGATAGTGAAGCGGTCTTGGGGAGAAGTGATCCTTTGGAGCAGACTTTTCCAGGCTATCCTGGGTAAGCACATTATTAAACAGAAAATCATGGATTAACCAGATTCTTTATTCCTTCTCAAAGAATCCTTTCTCATGCTTACCTTGTTTATTCTCATTTAACTTGTGCTTGAAAAATCCTTCATGTGGAATTACATTTCAGTGTAAACTTCAAATTGACATTCTTTCAGCCTGGGTTAGCTGACACAGTGGGAGACCTGCTGCAGAAAATAAGCAAGTTGAAATTTGTATCTGCATAATACTGGGTTGAAATTTCCTCACGTCTTTGCCTTCTTTTTTTCAGTTAGCGTGCCTGCAGCACCTGCTGGAATCCTCCTTCCCTGCTGTTGGATATAAAAACTACTTACTGTGCTAGTACCAAGTAGAAGGGAGTGGTAGTAAGATGGACAGGAAGTCCCAGGACTTTGATGCATTAAGTGCACAGACTGTGTTAAAACAGAAATAGAAAAGTTAAGGTAAAACAGATAAACTGTATTTCATTAAAACTTAAATTTAACTTGAATTTGGCACCTGAAGGGTTGTTTGTCTCAATTTAAAACCACACTCGGTGTGGTATGTTAGTGGAGAAGGTTTTTAACCTATAAAAACCCATGACAGTAAGTCATTGAAAAGTGCTTAACATTTTAAAACAAAATTCACAAGCATCTTGCTTGTGAACAATCTAGCTTGTCCAACAATTACCTTGTTTAATTTGGCTTGCCCTTTTAAAATTAGTTCAATGCTCTGAAGGAATATCCTTATAAATTCATTTGTTACTCATTTTGTCCCTGTATGAACCAGTGACATTCCTCCAGATCTCCTTGAACTTTTGGTGAAATGGATAGTCTCTACTTGAAAGAAAGGCTGGTCATGGGGAGGGTGGTGGAGATAAGGAGGAATTAATCCCATCTGTAGCACAGACCTCTGGGGAGAACGTGTCCATGTGATGTGGTGCCACTGCAGCTGTCTCAGCAGTCATGTTTAGCTGGTGGCTCTGTCCATCCGTGGCTTCCATGCCCGAGGCACCCAGCTGGAGACCTATGTCCCCTTCCCACGTAATCCTGCAGGGCAGATGTCTGTGTTGATCAGCTTTTCAAAGTATCTGCGTGTGGCTTTGGTTCCGGAGCTCTGCAGTGGGGCTTGGTAGCACAACTCTGTCGTACTGTGTTTGGTGAGAACTTATTCAGAAACATCTGTAAAATTATTTGGGAGGTGTAGATAGAAGGTGCTGTAGACTTACACAAATGTTTTTCCTTTTGCATGCCTTCATTCCTGAATTGCTGCTGAATGGAATGAAACGTGACAGTAAATGTTGATTTAAAACTGGATGAAAACGATGTCTCCTTCTTCAAGAAAACTAGGCTCCTGAGCTTACAAGCCACAGATCAAGGCTTGTGCGGTTGCATTTTCACACCTGCGTTGGCATCAGGGAGTAAGGTAGCCCTGGGAATCTGTGGCCAAAACTGCCTCAGTGGGAAGTTGAGGCCATGTTTGCAGCCTTTCCAGCGCCCCTTCAGTTCCCCAGCTGAGAACGGGAAACCTTGGGTGCTCAGACATTGGCAGCCTAGACAAAGGCTCAGTCTCCTATTAGGACTTGCATTCAGCTGGCAATCCTTTGAAATTAGTATGCTTCCACAGCATTTTTTATCTTGATGAACTGAATTTTCCAGGAGTACAGCTTCCCACCCGCAAATTTTCAATCAGCTTTGAATTGGCACGGTAGCTTGTGAAGATTTAAAAAAAACATCTTTAATTCAGTGGTTTAGCTTTTTGCCCGAGGAACTGACCAACGTTCTAGAGGAGGGCTATTGTACAGTTTTAATTAAAAATTTTTAATTATGTTTATTGCAAGAGAGACCATCAGATTTTTCAAGCTAATTTTCTGCATTTTAGCATTAGTCAGAGAACGTGGTAAGTATTATTAGAAAATATCCTTGTGATTAAAGTTTTCACCTCTGCTTTAATTCAGATGTTTTTCTTGTGTTTTTGAAGGTTTTCTTTAGATTTTTTGAGAAAGACCAAACTGCCTCCTGCTATCAGCCTCATTCATTGGTTTCAGTGGATGATGCCAATTTATAAGAGTGGGGGACTGACTCTGTGTGTTTATCTTAGGAGAGGTCAGACTTCGTAAAGGTTTTTCTCTGTGCTGTAGCCCTCCAAATGGGCAGTTTGGGAATGTAGCAGTGTTGCAGTCACACTGTGCTTCCCCTGATCACAAATAGATGCCTACATTGTAGAGATGTGCATATGCTCTAGCAATCTCAAACCTTTACAGAAATCAAGAGGAATAGGCATTTCTAGTGTGAGTTTCATCTCGCTAAAGGAAGCATCTAACAAGGGTTGCTTTTACTGTACCCCAGAAGTGTCTGCTTTTTGACATAGGTGACATAAGACCCCATCTAAACAATTTGAATGTTGTTTTTAATAGAGCATTTTGATTTTGCTGTGGGTTGGGGTTTTCTCTTTTTCTCACGTGGGTGTTGCAGGGTACCAGTTTTATTAGGCTTCTGTGCTGAATCAGAGAATCTGGAGAAATGTTGCAGTCATCACTGGCTTTGCCCTTGCAATCCTTCTCTGCTCTGTTCGGTTGAGCTGATAAGTGAGTTTGACAGATATGTCCTCTGCTCCAGAAATCCTGCTGGCCATGGCAGGATTCCCTAGGGTTGGCTTAGGAGCTCGCACTGCTGTGTTTAAGTGCTATTCAGGAAAGGAGTAACTTGTGCTTCCAGCTAACACATGCCAGTAATTGCAGTGTGCCATTAGCCAGGGGGGTGGCTGAACTGTACCTTCTTTCCCAGCCTGGTGCCATATAACCTTCTGGTAGAGAGGGTCAGTGCTTAAGTCGGTACAAATGGCAGCTTAGTTTGCCCTCTGTTGTGTGCTGAGGTTGCACCCTGCTTCACTGTTTCACTGAAGAAAAGAGGATCCACTTAATTACACCTTTTGCTCCTATATCCACAAATCAGCCCTTTAAAGCAGCCACATAATCACTCCTTGGGGGTATTTTCTGACCATTTGCAATCACCTGAAGCCTGGGTAATGCTGTACCATTATTTTTAAGCCCTAGCAGAAATAACAATAAACAAAAGAAAGCTGAGGTTTACCCTCATTTGTCTTGATCTTGAAATGTCAAATAAGCATGTTATCTCTCTGCAGGTCTCAGTCGGTTGTGGATCCTGGGGTGCTGAAACGCATGGATAAGAATGAAGAAGAAAACATGCAGCCTTTGCTTTCACTTGACTAACATGTTTCTGAGCATCGGACACAAACTGAGGTGGAAGGCACTGCCTCTCAGCAACAAGCAGAACACTGGGAAGGAGTGTACCAGCTGGAATCCTATTTACTCATATTAATGTAGCATAATGGCAGCAGGCAGCAGGTTTTACTATTCTGCCTGAATTCTGGATGCCCTGGGGTGAAAAAGAAGATGAGAAAAAAATGGAAAATAAAATGAAATAAAAAATAAAGAGGAATCAATAATTTATTCTGTAAGTGCCAACTTGTTTGTAAATACAATATAATCTTCCAGTTTGACTTTGTAAGTTATGGTAAACAAATGCTATGGAAATGAGTGACTATTAAATATGTCAGTCAAGTGCACCATAAAAAAAAGAGAAGAAAACGTGTGCGTGCTCACTCAGCACGCATGCACACAGAGAAACAGATACTGGACAAAGAAAACTATCAAAGCCAATTACATGTTGGCCTTCTCCTAGGAAGCCATACTGCAGCTCACGTACTGACTGCTGCTTTGTTTTCTCTCTGCAATGCTCATGTAGTATGCAAAGTTAAAGAGCGAATATAAGAACTTGGAGATACTGTAATTGGTTGAATTCCTAACTGTGGGGACTGGTTTCCCGAATAATGTTGTGGCTTAGGATTGTGATTTAGCATAAACCATGTAGCATTGTGAAAAGGATAACAGATGAGCTGGAACCAACTCTTTGACAACTTTGTCGTTTGGCTGTATGGATCTGTGAGGTTTCTTCCTTAAATTTTCATTTACAGTTCGCAAGTATCCCGGCTTGTTACACTAACCTGGGTATTGTAATGTGGGACACATTGGAGTTACTTCTCTTGCATTTTGGGTGCATGACAAGAATTTTTCCAGAACTCTGTTCTCCCTTGGAATGAGAAGATAGTTCTCTAAATACAACGTAATAACCGGTATTTGAAAGTAAAGCCTGGCCACAGAGGTTAGAAGTTAATCACTGAATCCTGTACAATGGGAGACTGGATACATACATATATATATATATATATATATATTTACCAATCTCTAACAAGCATACAAGGTGACATTGTTAGACAAGTCTGTTTAACTGAAGGTTTATACAAGAAATCATACCTATTCAATGTACTTAGATATATTATAGGTTGTATATTGAGACAATGTCATTATTAATATAGTAAAACTTTCCATAGAACAACAGCATCCCACTCCAATCAAGGGTTATTATGAATAAGTTGTAGTCAAACATCTCAGCCTATGTGTTTAGGACACTTCTGTTTTGGTTGTAGTGTAACTGTATATATTAAACATGTGCCATAATAGGGAAATACATTTTACCTCAAAAGGGCAACAGGTTTCGCTAGGGATTGGGTGCATCAGCTGAAACGCAGGGGCTGTTGTCATCTTTGTGTGCTAGCTGATGTGTGTGCAGCCTGTTGTGTGCTGAGACAAGAATGTCATTCCTTACTAGGACTTAACTCTCAACAGTGAGAAAACACAGGGTGCCCACCAAGACACCTGAGTAGTTAGAGGTATTGTAAGAGCATGTCCGGGCAAAGGAGGGGTTAGTTGAGAATACACTGATCAAAGTGGAGGAGATAGCTCACAGCAGCCCCGCCTCCCAAGCGCCAGAGCGTAAAGAATTTCTTCCATCATTTCGATGATAACTGAAGTTTCAAAGTCAATGGTTTTAAGTCACCGCTCCTCACCCACGATGATTGCAGCTTTAAAATTTAGTAGGATGGGATGAGTTCAGAGAGCGAAAGTGAGTGAAATCTTGGACGCGTGTTGTCTCAGAGCTTAGCTGTAACTCCTGTGCTGGCAGGTTCGGCATTTCTCAGGGCTGAGACGAACCCGTCTCTTCCAGCATCACCCTTGATTAGCCCAGGCAGCACACAGATAAAACTTTCCTACTTTGCAGTTCATTAGCAGCACTGATAAATAGTGTGGGCCCCAACATGCCATCCCATTGCAGGAACTTGTTTGGACAAGACATGGCCTTTCACTCTCGTAGTTCTGTTTTCATGATACGTGCGGTGAAATGCCTCTTTGCATTTCTCATTGCACAAAGATACAGACCCTAAACTTCTTTCCAGTCTGTCCTACAAGTTTTTGGTAGCAGAAGCTGTTGTAATACTACTTCTCTGGTTTGAGAGATTTGAAAGATTCTTATACACTATTTTATTCAGTCCTGTTTTTCACGTGACTTGTAACATCATGCTGGATAAGTGAATTGTGTCTTTACGGTTTGCATAAGTGCCATGTTTGAATGTACATTATATATGCCCACACTTAGGGTTAGTGGGATAGTATATTGCCATTGGTCTGTTTTTTAAATCCTTATCAGATAAAACTCAACATCAGTAGAAATTTTATCCTTGTAAGGGCTTCAGGGTTTAATCAGTATTCCATATGTATGCAACCTGTGACACAGTGGTGATCAAAATCTTCATAGATGCTTTTGGGTGCATTGACCAAACTTGGTGTAAACCAGAACAACACTGATTTTAGAATGCACCAGCTGTCTGGTCAGAAAATGCAAATACCTCTTGCATCCCCTCAGAGCATCTTTGTAGGGAAGTGTATCTGCTCAATTGTATGAAGCTTAAAATTTGTTCTGAAGCTTATAAATTTGTTTTGTTTGCAAATCCTTTATTTATACACTTATCTGTAATTTATGTAATGTTTTCTGATGCTTGGTTTCAGCATCAAGTTAATGAGTATTAATATAGTCTTTCCAGAAAGCGAAAGTAGGATGTATTATAATTTTGTGTAACTGGGACTTCGTCTTTCACAAAGAACAAAACTACTTCTTCAATAAGATCCTCACTGTTAAAGAGTTGGGCTACAGGTCTTCTTGGCTGCAGCTTTTATTTCACTGAAGCAAATTCTGGAAGTGGTAACTGCAGTTGTAACATTGGGTAACAATATGAAAATGGGTAAGAAAAAGAATTATCCTTTACATGCTCTCAGTATTCTTTGAAGGCATTTCTTTTTTACACATCAGGGTACATAAAGGGTTTACACCTTTCCCTTGCTTCTTGTAGAAAATCTTTATAGGTAGGTCAATTTTTAATAGATTAAATTTGGACTGCAAACTTTTTTCAAATCTTTGTTAACATAGGAATTGGTGTCTAATTTTTATAGAAGAATTGAAGTGCTAAAAATAGTATTCGAATGCTTGGGAGGAATTCCTCTAAATTTCTTACCGTTGTTGTATATTGGGTAGAATAAACCTTGTTGTAATTATGCATGCTGATATGCATATTAAAAAAATACCCTGCAGTATGAGGAACTTAGTGGAAAAACTGGATACACCTGTCCAAGCAACTAAGTGGAAAAGAAGGGGGGGGGAGGAAAAAAAGTATAAAAATTGATAGTTTCAGGCCTTTTGCAAGATCTAAAAATGTCCTCTTACATGATGTCTCTTACATGAAACAAATGTTTAAAAATATATGGAAAAGTTACGGAAACTTCATGCCCAAAGCCTTCCTCCTGTAATCAGAGATGTCAACAGTAAAGACAGGTGATCAGTCTCACTAAGCTCCAACAAATACACAGGCTCCCAATAGTTATTAGATGTAAAATAGCTTTAAGATGTCTTTACAAAAATGTAAATTTACTGTATAGCATATTTAAAAAGATGTTTTACACTCTGCAAACATGCTATGCCTAGTCACAAAAGGTATTTGTAGAGACATACATAAACTAAACACAGAATTAAAGCAAAAAGGAGTAGAAGGGACCTCAAGAGGTCAATGATATGTGGAAGAGCAGATTCTCTTTAATGTCTTTCTTAAAGAATTGTTTTAGCTCAGTACCTTGCATGAAATGCTCTTTGTATTCTTTAATCACAGTCACAGCAAAGGCTAAGCACATTACCTGACAAAATTGTAACCTGACAGTATTTTGTTCATGCCTTTTATTATTTACCTGTTCTGTTTGGGAAATTAAAAGTTTGCCAAGCGTCATAAGAACAACAGTTTAGAAGTACGTGGGAAACACTTTGCGATAAGCTTTGGTCATGTTCCTGTTATTATTGTTTCTGATATTATTAGTGTATGTATTCATCAAGATTTTTGGAAAAGTCCTGTTTGGAAGAGCATAGAAGAGAGAAAAATTCAAAATCAGGCTTCAGGATTTTGTTTGGACTATTAAAATAGGTTGGGGGGGTGGGTGGGTGAGGGGCACTTACTTTGTTTTTGATAATCTTTATTTGTCCGGCTGAATTATCAACAGCATTGAGAGCCAGGACAAATTTGGAAGATAAATATCAATGTGAAAGGCAAGAGCAAAGGTCTCAAATGATTGTACTGAAAAATCCCTTAATCATGTGGCTAGCTTTATCATGTCCTTCTAAAAAAAAGGCATTTTGCAAGTAGCATATGAATGTGTGTTTTGCTAAGAATTGTACTTCTGTCCAAGTTCAAAGTACACCATGAAATCAAGAAAGTAATAGTTATCCCATTTATCAGGTAGAAAAACAGAAACAGAGCCAGTTAGAGGCATTAAAATTTCAATGGAAGACATTCACATTGTGTTTACATATGGCAAAAATGACACTGTGATCACTCAGTCTGGCTTGAACTGCAGGAGAGGAGGTAATGTGTCCCTGTTTTGTGTGAGAAGAATGTCTGGTTGATGGTTCATTCGTGCCTAGTTTCTTTAGAAACCTAGCTGAACATTTTACCATGACAAACCAGAGGCATTAAAATTTCAATGGAAGACATTCACATTGTGTTTACATATGGCAAAAATGACACTGTGATCACTCAGTCTGGCTTGAACTGCAGGAGAGGAGGTAATGTGTCCCTGTTTTGTGTGAGAAGAATGTCTGGTTGATGGTTCATTCGTGCCTAGTTTCTTTAGAAACCTAGCTGAACATTTTACCATGACAAACCAGATC